TCTATGAGATACAGCTGACACAGTGCTCACATGAAATGTATTTGGCCTTAATTAATAAAAAATTAAAATAAAATAAGTAGGCATCCAACTCAGGAAATTAAAGAATAAAAAAATAAACCTGAGAGGCAGAAGAAATAAATTAATAGATACAATCAGAAATTAAGTTAGAAAACAAAAAACAGTAAAACGAATACATAAAATGGGAATAGATGGATGCTTCTTTAAGATGATAAACTATATTTACGTTAACCCAAAAGTCAACATCAAGATTTATGGGGAAATAAAGATACACTTCCATTAAAAAATTTTAAAATAAGCACGCCCCATCTCACACATTCTGCCCATGGCCCACCTGCCAGCTCCCGGCCCTTCCCACAGTCCATCAGAGGACACACGTAACACTTTAAGGCCCCTTACAGAAGGAGAAAAGATATTCCTTATTATTTAACTAGTTCTAGATGTTCGAACAACTTATTTAGACAAGAGAAAGTAATTAGAGATGGGAAAAAAAGTTAAAACTATCATTATTTGAAGATCTCTATCTGGACAAATGCAGAAAATCATCTGAAATAAAGAAGTATTATAAACAGTAAGTGAATTCAGTGGGAGGCGGGACACAGTCCTAATAGGGCCTGTCAGGAATCTAGTGGCAGGTCAATTCTATCAGGTCCCTTCTGTAATAGAGGATGTGGTGACTTATACATTCTGGAAGAAACATTTATCCTCTATTTGGATTTTCTTTCCCAGCAGGTCATACCTCTGACGATTTCACCATCCCTGGAATTACTGACTTTGCATAACACAGGGTGGTCCAGACAAAATTGGCTCGAACCAAGAAACTCACTTCTCAGTAAAAGAAATAACACAGTTGGCAAGCCACGGACCATGATCATATTTCCCATCCACCAGAAGCAGCTGGCCTTATAGAACAATGAAATGGTGTTCTGAAAACAGATCTGGCAGTAGCCGGGAGACCGCACCTGTGAGGCTGGGACACTTTCTTATAGAAAGCGATACGTGGTCTCCAACAGTGACTGAAATGCAGTGTCAACTCTCCCTCAGCCAATATAGAGGTCCAAAAGCCAAGGGTTGGGGTGGGAGAGTGGAGGGTGGTAGCTCTCACTATTACTTTTCTCTCTCAAAATATTTGCTTTCCATCCCCCAAGTCACTCACGGTCTGTGGACTTAATTGTCCAAGGGCCAGGTGTTTGCAGTAGGGAACCCAGTGAGGGTTCCACCTGGCCATGTGGGACTCCTCCTCCCACTAGGGCATTGGCAGAAAAGGGTGTTCCCATGCTGGCTGTGTTCCCCTTGATTATGAAGGGAAAATAGGGTTGTTATTCCCCGATAGGGCCCGGGAGGGGCAGAGGTGGTTGCCTCCTTGCACCACTGCACCCAGTGGCGCAAATTAACAGAAAACTATCACGATCCACAGTAACATTCTAATTTTCCTCCCCTACTATTGTAGCATCGGGGTTTGGTGGTGGCTGAGTCTGCCAATTTGTTCAAGGCTTCAGGGTGATGAGAAATAACCCTGGGCTAACAAGAAACTATAGGAGGAATGGGCAGCCCTTGGAAACCACAAACTCTGACTCTTAGAAGAAACATTTAAAGTGGTCTGAGATGTCACATCTGCATATCTGGATGTGACTTGCTGTTGCCTCCTTTTAGGGACGTTGAAGTGCATTTGTGGCTCTGATAACTGGAAAGATGGAACAAAGAACACACTGGGGTGCCCAGGGCTTAGTTCTGGGCCCTCTTCTCTGTCTCCCTGCTGTAGCTAAGCAAACTCATGCAGTCCTGTGGCTTTAAATAACTCCTGTATACTGATGACTCCTACACCTACATTTCCAGCTCTAGCCTCACCTGCAAATCCAGACTCTATATCCTACCTGCCTACTTGCTCAGCTCCTTGGAGGCCTCACAAGGAGCTCAAACCAACACATCCAACGAAAAACTACTGATTTCTGCCTATCAAGCATCCCCTAACCTGCTCCTGCTATAGTCTTCCTTTTTTCAATAAATGTCGTCATAAGCTACCCAGTTGCTCGAAACAAAAATCTAGAACTGCCTTGTCCAGTATGACAGCCACTAACCACATGTGGCTATTTAAATTTTAATTCATTAAATAAGAAATAAATAATTTTTATTTTTATAAAAATTAAAATACATTAAAATAAATATAAATAAAAATAAAATAGAGCCAGCCCTGATGGCCCAGTGGTTAAAGTTCAGTGCTCACCGCTTTGGCAGCCCAGGTTTGCTTCTGGGTCACGGAACAACACCACCTGTCTGTCAGTTGCCATGCTGTGACGGCATCCCACATAGAAGAACTAGAATGACTTCGAACAAGGATTTACAACTATGTACAGGGGCTTTGGGGAGGAAAAAAAAAAGAAGAGGAAGATTAGCAACAGATGTCAGCTCAGGGCCAATCTTTAAAAAATAAAGAAATAAAATATAAAAATATAATAAATATAAAAAATAAAATAAATATAAATGTATAAAATAAAAATTAAAAATAATAAAAATTTCAGGTTCTCAGTTTTACTAGCCACATTTCAAGTGCTCAATAGCCACACGTAGCTAGTAGCTGCCACATTGGACAGTCAGATACAGAACATTTCCATCATCAGAGAGTTCTATTGACAGTGCTTCTCTAAAGACGTTGCCACTGAGTCCTCTTTCCCTCACCTCCCACACATAATCCAATAACAAAGCCTATAAGTTTTACCTCCAAAACATTCCCTGAGTCAATCCATTTCTCTCCAACCCATTCCTACCACCCTGGTCTATGCCACCATCACCTTCCACCTGGAATGTCGAACTCACTTCTTAATTGCCCTAGTTCCAATCTTCCCCACCTGTAACCATATCCCCCATAGTAGACAGAATGATTCTTTTCAAAACTGAAAATCCGATCCCGTCCTTCTCCGCTACAATCCTTCCAATGGCTTCTGTGGCAGAGACTGTGGTTTTAGCCTAATAACCTTCTTCGCCTTCTACCTCAGTAACAGAACCTCTGAAGTTTAGGTGAGCATGTAAAAGCCCAAAATAAAGAATCCACTTTCCAGAGTCCCTCCTTGCACTTAGGTGTGGTCATGTGACTGAGTTCTGACCAGTGAGAGCCAATGACGTTGTGTGCAGTCTCCTGGCACGTCCTTAAAAAGAGCAGGCTCTTCCTGCTGCTGTAACGGGCAAGATGGCTGAAGCTGGAATAGACCATGAGGGGAACTAGGGAGTGGAGGTAATGCACTGTGGAGCAACAAGATAGAGGGAGCGACCCACCAGCCCTACCTACACTTTTACAGGGAGAGAAATACACTTTATCTTGTTTAAGCTCCAATTATTTGAGGTTTTATGTCAGAGTGGGGACCTAATTCTAAGTAATACAGCCCCCCATCACACTTAGAAGAAAATCCAAACTCCTTACCAAAGTCTGGAAGATTCTCCATGATCAGGTCCCACGCCAGCATAATCGCCTCCACTCTCTCCTCACTCACCATGCTCTGACTTTCTCTTTCGCTGCTTCACCATACCAAGCTTCTTCACGTTTCAGGGCTTTTGCACTTGCTTTCCCCTCTGCCTGGGTTGCTCCTCTTCAGATCTCCTCATGGGTGACTCCTTTTTGTTATCCAGGTCTCATTAACTATCACTGCTTTAGAGATCTTCCCCTGCCCAATCTAAAACACCCAACAAGCCACTCTCTTTTACAATACCTCATTTTAATTCTTTGTATAGAATTTAACACTAACTGATGGCTCTTTAACTTGTTTATTGTCTGCCTCTCCCTATTAAAATGTAAGCTCCATGAGGACAGGAATTTGGTTGGTTCAGGCCATATTTCCAGTATCTAGAACAGTGCCTGAAACCTAATAGACACTCAATAAGTACTTGTCAAATGAATGATCACATACTATTCCAGGAATAATGTGTGGTTAACAGTAGGGTCTCTAAAGTCAGACGACCCGGATCAGAATCCTGGCTGGGCCACGTTCCAATTGTGGAACTTACCACAAGTTTTATTACTTAAGATTCCCTGTAAAATGAGATTACCCAGGGCATAGGATAGGAGAAACCGAAACAGCGTTTATAAAGTACTCCCTCTCCTTCTCCCTCCTTCCTCTGAGAGCTCCCTTCTTTCCCCCCTCCCTTGGGCCCCTCATATGGCCTCTTCTCGTCTGCTTTGCGTGCCTCTCTGCACACTCCAGCTGAGACCAGGCCTTTAAAATTTGGCGGGAACTAACCTCAGCATTTGGAAGGACCAGAGCTGCGCACGCGCGGGACACCTACCTTTCTCTCGCGCGCTAACTTTGCAGCCTCGACAGCCTATCAGAGTGAGCGCCGGAGCCCGAGTCCCGAGGACTCACCAATCGCATCTGGGAGGCGGGCCGCCGTGGAGGCAGTGGCGAGAGGGGGCGGGGACAAGGCGAGGGCACGCGCGGTTCTCGCGGTCAGGGTTTCTGCGGGCCAATGGGAGAGGCCTGAGGGCTGAAGGCAGTGGGGCGTGGTGTTGGCGGCTCCCGCAGCTCGAGGCCGTCCAACGTCGGGCCAATCAGAGTGAGGAGGTGGGTGGAGACTAGCCAATCAGCGTGCAGGATAGGCAAGGCAGGGGGCTGAGGAGTGTCGCCCGGACGCCACCGGCTCCTGAGCTTCTGTCAGGGGAGCCGGGCGTGCGGAGGCGGCTGAGGAGGCGGGAAGGCGGCAGTGGTTGAAGGGGCGATTGCTGCCTTGCGGGGAGGAGGCCCGAGAGCGTGGGCAGCCATGGTGATGGCGGCGAAGAAGGGCCCAGGCCCGGGTGGCGGGGTCGGCGGAGGAAAGGCGGAGGCGGAGGCGGCCTCGGAGGTGTGGTGTCGCCGGGTGCGGGAGCTGGGCGGCTGCAGCCAGGCCGGCAACCGCCACTGCTTCGAGTGCGCCCAGCGCGGGGTCACCTACGTGGACATCACCGTGGGCAGCTTCGTCTGCACCACCTGCTCCGGCCTCCTGTGAGTGGACCGGCGCGGGGGCAGGACCCGGAAGGAGCGGCCGAGAGCCGGCGCGGGGGACAGCGGGGACCCGGGGCGAAGGGACAGAGCCGAGGTGGGGGGCGGCGCGGAGGCCGGGGACGCACCGGATGCGGCGAGAGGCCCGCCTGCTGCAGAGGTGTCATGGGGCAGGGACAGGGGCAGAGGCGACAAGACACCCTGGGAGTCGCGTCGCAGGGGAAGGGAAGGACAGCAGAGAGGAATGGAGAAACTCCCCAAGGGAGGCGAACGGAAAGTGGGGAGAATTGAAGGGAACTGGGGGGCGGGATAGAGATTTAAAGGGCCAGAGAATGACATGCACCTTGAAAGGGAACTTCACGTCGGGGGAGGGCGAAAAGGAAAGAGAGGGGACCAGCTGGGCTCAAGATGAAGGTGTCCCTTTCTTCCCTCTGGCTTGTGCCTCTCCTGGAGTGTGAGATGGAGAACCAGTTTAAAACAGGTAAGTTAACCCAGCTTGACACATGGAGATAGCAGGTAAGGTAAGCAGGTTCCAGTGTTCAGGTGCAGATCCTAATCTTGCAGGGCCCTGGAAGGCTACCCAGAGGCAGATTTCTTACAAATCTAAGAGGCGAGGGCTGCCGGGTTGCCCTCCTAGAGAGCTTAACTTTTCCGAAGGTTTGGGGATCTGGATGAGCCATCCCTTAAGTGTAACAGTTTACACCTTTAAGCTTCCAGTTGCCATGGCCGGATCCTGGTAGTGGCATCCCGCAACTCATTCTAGATTTGGGGGAGTCTTGTTGTATGATCTGCAGTGCTACGCTTGGCTCTGGCACTGTACCTGGTCATGCCTGAGCTAATTCAGAGCCACCGATCTAGCCTGGATTTCTGATTATATAGTAGTAAGCATTTTTCTCCTTAGGGAATTATTTGGTTAGATGCATGATTAACATTTGATACCAGGCCTGTGTCTCTACTTTTAATAAATTTATCAAGGGATTTATTTTGACTTTTTTAGTATTATTTTAATACCTTCATTTGTTGGTTTGGTTTGTTTTTTAACAAGGAGCGTTTTCCTTGTTTCTTCTTACCCCTTTAGGAGCCAAGCAAGGAGGGAGCAGTATTGTTCTTACGTGACAGATGGGAGAACAGAAGCAAAGAGAGGTTTAGTAACTTACCCAATGCCATATGGGGTTGCTGTTTTCAGCATTTGTTGTTTGGTATTAGTTCTGACCATGGCAGACCAGAAATGAAGATCCGGGGCTCCTAAGATACAGTTTAGGATGATTTCTCTATTCGGTTTTTACCTCCTCTGCCAAACTTCTGTGTTGTGAGCAACCTCACTTGTGTGTTGTGAGGATGGACTTGACTTTGGTCTAAGGAAAAGCCACTATGGCTCTTGGGACAATGATTCCAAGCAAGAATGTGTCAGAAGTTGAGATGGAAACTCAAATGAAGCAAAAAGAGACTTGAGACTGGGACAAAGTACTCTGAGGGGAGCAGGAGCAAAAAATAGGAATATTTATAGCATAAAGTAGAAAGAGAGCAGATTCCTGCAGATCCTGCTGTTAAAAGGAAAATCTGATTATGGAGTCTGGAGAGAAGTAAAGGGAAGCAGGGCAATAAAGTTGATTGTGTATCAGAGTCTAGGTCGTAAGATGAAAATGTTAGGGAGCAGTGTTACTTCATTCCCATGGTTAGCTGTGATGGGATGAAAGATAAAACATGGAATAAATGAGAAGTGCTGACATCATTATCGTGATTTTATAGATCTTGATTTAGAGTCTCCCATAAATAACATTTCCCTGCTATAATGAATATCCCTCAATCAGGCCAGAAGGAGGGCCAAGGGATCTGGGACACACTAAAAACCTGGTTTCTTTTGCTGGAAAAGTTAACTCCTTAAATATCGGTGCACAATTTGTGGAACTTTACCGCTTTCCCCTGTGGTCATTATTGTTGATTTCATTAATGAAAAATCAAACACCCGTGATCTGGGCAGACCCTGCGTGGAGGTAACTATGGCCTAAAGATTGATTAGTTTGTTAGAGAAGTATCCTGAGAGACCTGGCTGTCTCTGGGATATGTGTACCTCAAACTGGGGGCTTAGCTCCTTAGGAACTTAAGTTCCCTTGGGACTAAGTAGGAGGAATCCTGTTTTAGTTTCACAAGATCTAGAGAGGACATTTTTGCCTAGTGCTTTGGTAAAGCATCATGAGAATCACTCGGAGTGATTCTCAAGGTGGTAGACTTTAGGGAACACATTTTGGTGGTTGGGAAATAAGGAGCTAGGCCAACCCTTTGTTAGCAGGAGGTGAGAGGAGAGTGAAGGATCCAGAGGCTGCGCCACTCAATGAAGCTGAACTGAAGGCATGTTGAGCTTATAAAGAGAGAATATCAGAAGAAACTCTGCAAGAAAGCTGGAGTTCCCCCGGCTGTGCCTGTCTGCCTGGGTTCTGGTGGTGCTTCTCTTTTGCTAATTGGAGTTCTAATTAGCATGGACTAGGGCAAGGCATATAGAGCTTTTAAAGGGGTCCTAAAGTATTACCTGTGTCCTCTGATGGACTGTGGAAAGGGCTGGGATCTGGCCGGTGGGTCTTAGGCAGAGTGTGTGAGTTGGGGCCTGCTTATTGCTGGCTGCAGAGTGAGGAGGGAGCTCACACAGTCCAGCCGGCAGAGGAGAGGCATGGCTCCACGGTGACACATCCACCGGTTAATATCTTAAATCTGCATGGTTGATTGCCCATAGGTTAGGATTTTGTGGTGCTTGGAAGTAAAAATTGTGGTAGGCCAAGAGCCTGCACATTCACTGAGTCGGTCAGTCAACAAATATTTACTGAGTGCCTGTCAAGCCCCAGACACTGTTTTAGGCAGTGGAGATCAGGCAGTGTACAAATCAACAAAGTACCCATCTTCATGTAGCTTATGTCCTAGTGGAGGCCACGGACTCGAAATAAATCATTAAATATATAACTGCAGGTAGTGATAAGTGCTATGAAGTGAAATAAAGCTCAGCATGGCCTAGAGAGTGATGGGAATTCATATTGAGGTGTGATGATGAAAAGAGAAGAAATACTCTTTGTTAAAGTGAAGAGGATATTGAGGGGGAAGAATTGAAGTACCATAGCCAGAGAAAGGAGACAGCAGGACTGGCTTTATTTTGAATTTTGAGTGTGTTACAAATATGTCTACCTCTTAGTGGAATGGAGTATTCTAGGGGCAGTGAGCAGAGTTCCCAGCTGGCTGGATTGGCTGATGGAGCAAAACTGACTGTTCCAGACAAAGTTGAATTTCCCAAGATTTGAAGAGAAATTCAGATTTTGATATTGGCGGGTGGGTATGACTGTGCCTTCATCCCTGCATGTGTGAACTCATTCTCACTCTCTGTTTTTAAATGAGAAATATTTTCTCAGCTGTAGCAAAAACCCACAGCTTCGGTGTGAGGGCCTGGGAGAGAAGCTGCTAGTTTCTGCTGTTTCTAAATTTACGTACATGCTGTCATAATTGTAGGTCCCAAATTTGACCTAGTTTTATTCATTTGGTTTTGTTTCAAAAGCTTATTTCCTTAACCTGGATAGAGATCCTTTGAGTTTCCATAGTATAAACATGTGCTTGTTTGTTTAGTTACATTTCTAACTCTTCCACTAAAGAATGAATCTGCCATTTGAAGCTAGGATGGGATAAAGATTGCCACTAAAAAGGATTTATTTCCAAAGCAGTGCCTTAAATGTTCTTTTTTGTTCTGGTTCACTTGGATGCCCCAATGGATAAACTGCTTTTCTTTAGAAAGAAAATAGATGTTGAGGCCTGAGATCTCGTGACATCAGCGATGGACACTACCTTTGACACCCAGTTTTTTCAGCAAAGTATGTGACCTGCTTTTCTGACCCCGCTGTTTGGATCCATCCTTTTTTTTTTTTCTAAAGATTTTTTTTTTTTCCTTTTTCTCCCCAAAGCCCCCCGGCACATAGTTGTGTATTTTTAGTTGTGGGTCCTTCTAGTTGTGTCATGTGGGATGCTGCCTCAGCACAGTTTGATAAGCAGTGCCATGTCTGTGCCCAGGATCCGAACCGGCAAAACCCGCCGAAGCGGAACGCACGAACTTAACCATTTGGCCACGGGGCCAGCCCCTGGGTCCATCTTTTAATCCATGGTCCTTTAGGTCTCAATAGTGGATACTTGTCTCTTCTCCTTCTGCACAACTTTACTCTGATAATGGGACTAAGTCAGGATTAAGGTGGACAAAGCTCTGGGCTGGGTGTCAAGTGATGTGCTTGACATCTCTTTATGGGTGACAAGTTCCTACCTTCCTTGTGCCTTAGTTTCCCTGTCTGGCTCACTAGTAGTGGTTCCTAGTTGAAGCACTTTTATCTCCATGGAAGGAAGGGTGTAGTATGTTATTCAGTAATTCAGTACTTTTCCATCTCTCTGTGTTGGAGAAGTAGACATGTCCCTTGCCTTTATTTTATTCCCATTCCTCCATCCCCTCAACCTCACCTTTCATATTCACCTCTGCTGGGCAGAGGTGGACAGAGTCTCAGTAAATTACACATTTAGGCACTTTATCCTACAGGGCCCTTGGACGACTTGAAAAGCCCCTAAGAAAATAATAAATTACCAAAGGGATGAGAAGAAAGGAAAAAAATGTAGAAGGATTTATATTGAGCCTGAAGAAGAGGGCAGCTGGTAGTGCCAGGATTCTACGTGGCTCTGCATGAGACAACAGCTGTTTATCATTGTTACTGAGGAAGAACTACAGGAAATAGATTGAAGCAGGGGAATTTAGATTAGGAGGAAGTTTCCTAAAATTAGTGAAATTGACCCTGGAGCAGGATAATAGGGGAGCCTTCCTATTAGGGACTATTAAAAGTCTGTAATAGGGACTCTTCTTGGTGATGTTTGGGTCCAAGGTAAGAGCTAACCAGGGTTAGCTGGATGCTGCTCAGAGGCAGAGGGATGGAATCCCGGGAGCAAAGAAACGCAGTCTGGGGTATATTAATTTAAACACAAATATGCAGAGGTAAGGAATTCCCAAGTCCAAATCTGGCACAAATGAAAGAACTCGGGTGTTGGGTGGAACTGTTTTTTTCCACTCTTGACCTGGCAGAACCTCCTTATCTGAGCAGCTGAACAAGTTTGAGCTCAGCTCAATCTTATTAAGCAAGATAGAAGTAAAATATGGGCCAGTTTGAGGGTGATGACCACAGAGAAACAAAAGGTGTGATATTTGTAGAAACAGTAGTATGCTTAGTAGAGCCCGAGGGAGGGGAGAGCAGAGAGAGAGAGAGAGAATTGGGCAGACTTTAGGATCTCTGCACATGGCTGCACTTGCCAAGCAATTTAGCGTACTTCAAAGAGTGATTCAGAGTACTTAAATACCATTTAGGTGCCCTGTGAAAAAGATATCATGGCTCTGCTGAAGGCCTGGGTCCTAGGAATGCACTTGCCTTCATTTGGAAAAACTTGCCCTATTCTGGGCAAATAAATTTATCTGTATATTTCCCCAGCACCTCCTGGTAGAAACAACAGAATGGATTTGCTGTGATAACTGAAGGGCAGTGCCTCCTTCTAGCTCTCACTTCTTCTTTTGGGGAGGACCTGAGAGTTATGTTGGGCAGACTGGGTGCAAGTTGGAGAGTTGGGTCTGTTTGATTCCAGGCCAGTGACTCATATCTGGCCCATTGCATGACCATGGTATGTACCCAGCGGAAAGCAACACTCCTAGAGGAGGGGGGCTCTTGCTTCTAAATTGCTTCTCTCAGCAGCAGTGGCCTCTCTGTGATTCAGAAGCAAATGCTCTGACTCATAGGCCATGTAACTAGGCCCTCTTTCTGGGCTGCAGAGTTTTGCCTTGTCGAGAATTCTCCCTGCCCCCAAACTGTGGCTCTGGTTATACATAATCCAGTCTACAGACATCAAGGTCAGAGCACTGCCTTTTGTACTGTGCTACGGAAACATCCTGTTCCGTCAGATTCGTTTGGCCCAAAGCACCTAAATCACTTATTTGCTCTTCCTTCCCTTCATCCTAACCTCCCCCCCTCCAAAAATAAACTTTCCGGTCCAAGTTCAGCCGTAGGAACCTCTGTTGTTCTGAGCATCCCCTCTAGACTGATGTGTGGGCCGGGTCCCTCCCCCTCCACCTACAAGGAAGCACACCTCCCTGTTTACGCTTTGCTAACAGTTCCTGGTTGTCCTTTCAGGAAATGTCAATGACCTTTTTGTGATACGCTTTGTGTAAACATAATACATTTTACTTTTCCCATAACCATTTCTCTTCCTTCCCCCACTGCTGCATCCTGGTGCCACATTCTCGCTGATCCATCTGTGTGCCTAAATGGCACCCTACTGCATTCAGAAGTTCCCTGGGTCCATCTTGTAAGCAAGTGCCTGGTGATCGAGGACCAGGTCCTATAATTCTTGTATCACCCAAAGTGCCCAGCACAATGCCTTGTGTTTTGGCAAAGTAAATATTTGGTAGTGGGAGGTGAAGAAGAGGACTGGGATCCTGGGGACAGAGAGGTCTGCTCTGGCTAGACCTCAGAAAGGCCTGGTGTTGTGAGGGGGAAGACCTAGGGGTTAAGGGGAGAAAAGGAAAGGGAAAGAGTATAAAAGCGGCTGTCTAGACTTCAAACCTAGACAAAACCAAGCCATTAGTAAGGGAGGCTTTAGGAGAGAAACCTGGAATACCTCTGAAATATGATCAGAAGAGAGTCTTCAGGGCAGATCAAGTTGAAGAGCTATTGTTTGACGTGTAGTAACAAAGCCTTGCTTTTGGTTTTCCCTGCTCTTATCTTTCCTCAGGCCGTGAGTCCTCTTTGATATTGCTTGTCTTTTAAAGGGGTATCTTTACTTAAAAGTCTAGCAGCAGAATTGCTAAAACTGCCCTCAGTTGTAGCCTCCAGTGTCCTGTCCTTTGTTAGATTCCCGTAATGGGTCATTTATTATCCAGAAGGGCTGCTGCCCTTCACTGTTCCCTCTGCGCTGTGTCATCTGCCCCCTGCCCCCGCCGCCTTCACTTACACTAACACGTGCACTGCCCTGCTTCCAGGCTTGGCAGGGTGCCTTTATTCTGCGTGTACACCTGCAAGCGTGAATGTGTGTTTTCCCTATCTTTCTCTGAGATTTCCATTTGGTGAATTTTGTTGTCTCCTCCTTCTCCCTTTGCTTTCCTGAGGGCATCACCTAGGACCCTGTTGAGTTACTTTTATTTTCACATCTTGATTTGCCCATGTTTTCCAGGGGCATAAACGTCTGAAGAGGCCTCAGCAGTTGAGACTGTCTTTCCCGCATATGCCTGTGGTCGTTTGCTCCTAGTCCCAGGGGCTAGTTTCTTTGTTTTGGTGCAGCCGGTTTTGTTTTCTTCTGATGAGGGCAGTAGGTCTAGACCAGAGTAAAACGTAAGGTGTGTCGACGAAAATAATCCATAACCAATCTATCCATGAAAATTTGGGTGAGTTTATTCTGAGCTGAAATCTGAGGACCATGGCCCAGGGCCTTTCTTCCCAAAGGAAGAAAGGGCACCAAAGAAGTGAGGTATACAGAGTGGTTATATACCCCCATACAGGAGGATTCACATATGATTGAAGTGTCCCTCCCACAATAGTCACAAGATTGCCCTGTCAGCACAGCGCTTGATGGACACAGCAGGTAGTGGGTCTGCTATGTCAGAGGGCAAGCAGGAGGCAAGCCTATTGTCTCGAGCTGGGTGGTCACAGGTGAGCTCAGCAATCAATTCCTAGCCTAAGGAAAGATGCTTAATCCTTAAGGGAATGCCAACGTTGGCAGGGGGAGGGAAGTTGTACCTTTATCTCAAGGGCCTTTGTTCTTGCCATAGGGAATATCTCAAGCAGATATACAATGCATGCTCAACAGCCACAGTCAGGCCCTTTTGGAAAGACAAGGTCAGGCCGAATTAGGTTTATACCAAATGGCTTCCTCATACTCTCCAATATATCCTATTGCTTGCCATTTTTTTTTTTTTTTTAAAGATTTTATTTTTCCCTTTTTCTCCCCAAAGCCCCCCGGTACATAGTTGTGTATTCTTCGTTGTGGGTCCTTCTAGTTGTGGCATGTGGGACGCTGCCTCAGCGTGGTTTGATGAGCAGTGCCATGTCCGCGCCCAGGATTCGAACCAACGAAACACCGGGCCGCCTGCAGCGGAGCACGCGAACTTAACCACTCGGCCACGGGGCCAGCCCCTATTGCTTGCCATTTTTATTTGTCAGGTGTAAAGAAAGGGGAACCTATGAAACCCTGCCTGGCTTGGCCCCAGGTTTCCCCTGCTAGAACACTCCGGAGGGCAGTTGAGTGGGGGCGAGGAAGACTTCTCTGCTGTGATCTCCATAGGGCTTCTGTGGGCAGAACTGGATTCCCAGGGAGTTAACAGAACACCCAGAGCTGGCACAAAAGCATCACTACGGGATATATGTTCCTGACTCATGCCAATCTCATATGTCATTGTCGAACCTGAATTCCTCCTGCTTCGCTAAAAGATCTAGCAATGAGAAAGTCTGGAGTATTTCTTTTCCCAGAGATCTCTTGCTAAAAGAGAGGGGCCCTCTGCATCCCTACCCTATGCCAGCTTTCTGTGTAGACAAGAGGAGGGGCGGCCAGCCAAGGGACTCTGGGTTTTGTCTCCAAATCTTACCTTTGTTAGTATAATCAGGAATAGTTATGGGCCTTTGTTTTTGACTTTCCTCATGCTTGAGGGATTTGTGTGTCTTCATGGGCTCTGGGACCTTGAGGATGTGCCGTCGGTCGAAACAAGAAAGCAGGAAATGGGAAGTGGTCGCACGTCTGAGTTCCCAGAAGTACCCCTCTGCCTTGCAGGCTGAGCCCTGAACTATTGGGGTCTGAGCCAAGGTCGAGGAGGCTTCTGGATGGACAAGTGCTGCCTTCCTCTCCAGAATGACAGGGGTCA